AAGGGGCAATGGGAGTATACTGTATATAAGAGTAAGAGTTTAGGAAGAGGGCTATAATAGTGTCAACACAGTTAATTGTGATATTTTATCTATTTTCTAAAGGCAAGGGAATTCAATTTAGCCAAGTCAATTTAATTTGTATAACTCACAATTAACAATTCACAAATCTCACTGGAGCTTAGGCTTCCTTAATAAACCTATAAAATCTGTTAACCGTTGTGGTAAAACAGTTATTTACATTATATCCTTAATAAAAGCCCTTGAAAAAATAGTTGAAATGCTGAAAGAATTAAGGTTGTATTTTTTAATATCGTGTTTAAGCCTATTTCCGATGTGAAAATTAATAAAGACAATTTATAATGTTTTGGGTGGAAACATATACGCACAAGAAGAATAAAGGGTGTTTTACGTTGCTAATGTTTCGTGACATATACTTTTAGTAATGTTCGGTTAATAAATGCTGTACATGACAATGAAGTCAGTATTGCTAGAAAGACACTAAGACTGGCGGTTTCGGTGACGATACGAGGAGGCGCATTTTAAACTATTAACTGGGAACATTCTGTTCATGTTCCTTTTTAAAAATCCAAGCATGCCGGCGACACTTATGATGCACATGATAACAGAAGGCTATGATGAGTCAAAACCTAATGTACGTCATCGTGTTTTAAAAGTACGTACGGCTTCTTTGTGTGATGACCGTGTTCTTCTGGACTGAAGTTGGTAAAACAAAAAGCGACAGATTTCTCTCTTATACAGCACAAAACGTCTTCATGGAGGCGGCCATGATGTTTGCAGCTTACTGCCGTAATAACTGTAGTAAAACTGCTCACAAATATGTCGGCAAGGTCCTTTTCCGTACGTTATAAAATAAATAGAAAAATAAATAGTTAAATAAATGAATAGTTAAACGATATTGTTGTTGTTTTTGCTGGTTGCAGCGAACGATATCCACCTGTGTTTTCTATTAATTAAAGTAAACCCATCGAATAGTTACGATTCACACAGTTCTACACGTGTGCGCGCTTACTTGTGGGTCAAAGCTATGAGCGCGCGTACGTGAACGCCCCCACCCCCACCAGTTTCCACTACGCCGCGCGCGCGGATTGAGTCAAGTGAAACTACCGAGAGGTGGTGTTGACCGACCGCTGCAGGGTTTCACCAAGAAAACTCCAAACCGAACTTTTAAAGGAAACTGACAGTAACGTTTCGGAAACGATTTTTAAAGAAAGGAGCTCCGGTCTTAGACCACCACAGTGTAGTCGCCCAGACAGAGAAGAAAGTAAACGGTGAAGGGAAAGCGGCCGAAGGGAGCCTGAGGATCAAAGCTAATGCTAACACAGCCGGCCAGTGGAAGCTCGTGTCATTTATCAGTCGTTTGCTTTGATACAGCTTCAATGATTTAAAAGTATACAGAAGGGTCACGCGTGGTCAGTTATATTTTGTATATAATTCAACCCGAAAGCTGACTTGGTTTCATATCTAAGGACGCATGCGACTTTAACTGAGTAGGGAGATTAGCTACATTAGCCGGCTGTCTAACTGAGGTTACACCGGGTCTTCGCTCCTCACGACAGGTGATACTGATAAAGATAGTTCGTTGCTAAAGCAACTTAATACCAGGAGTGTTTGTTACTAAGTTAACACTCGACACAAAGTCCTCTGCTACACAATGTTGAAACAGCAGCAGCCACCCGGCTCGGCCGGGAGAAAAGCATCTAACGGAACCTCCGGGCCCGCGGGTATATCTTCCCCAGCTAGCGGCTCCAACAGCAACAACAGGACACCGGCCGGAAGGTAAGCGAACGCGGATATCTCGATAGGAGATTCCGGGGATTGACCTGTGATTTCGAGGCCTACCGGTTAAAGCGCTGTGTACTTGGTGGGCGTGTCTGCCTAATGCGCAGACCAATGGAATTGATACTTGCTTGATTGACAGTAGATTGTGATCAACCACACTTCAGATATTAAGCCTACACAAAAATTTGAGGCGGATCCAGGTTTTCTGTAGCTCTGCTTAGCAAATCAGCATACAAGCGATACAAAGTTTATTTGACTTGTCAGTGACAGAAAGGCGACGCTGACGATCGAAGAAAAACATGTAAAATTTCAACGACAAGCGTTCGCAGAAGAGAGAAAATCATGGCGCATCGCGATTATAGGTATTTTTTTGGGATAATCATTGGTCAGCACCGTGTCGTACGCGTTCTAAATTGTGAAAGATGTGTCTGTGTTTACTCAACTCTGATGAGCTTTGTCTCTTTGTTATGCTACCGTCTGTGGCTAGCAATGATACCGTCCCGTGTGTAGTCTTTGTAAAGGACGAATTTCGTTTAAGTGTAGACGTACTATTTTTTTAATTGGGCGACGTGGTAAAATATCTTTACTTCCTTCAGATTGTGTTTCGGTTTTTATACATGTTTTTTTACGCAATCGCGTGAGGCCATGTTGTTACGTCTTGATCGCTAGCCAACAGTGTTTGCTTTAGAGGAAAATAATTACCAGATTTTTCAAGAAACGTCATGTTTGTCCTGTTACACCGAAATCTTCATTGATTTACCGTGGCTGTTTATATGTTGGCATTCCGCTGATGTTTTATGTAAAGCGCCACTAAGTACAATTTCTCCCCCTTTCCCTTCTAATCTGACATGTTTGTTAAAAAAACTGTTTTTACAGGAATCGACCCTCTGCCAAGCCATCATTCCAGTCATCTCCTGTAAGTATTCTGTCCCACGGCGTTCAAGAATTGAACAAAACGTGCAGTGATGCAATGTGTCCGGTAAAAACCTCAACCACGGTTGAACATTTAGTATTACATTTAAATGCCATTTTTAAGTAAGAAAATAATGTTACTGGTTTGGTAAATTAATTTAATTATAAATTAATGAATTGCCTTAGACTGTGATAGATACACAATTGCTTAATATTTTATAGTTTTCTATACACGAATGTGTTAAATTGTTGTTGAAATTGAACATTTTAAGAAAAAAACAAACAATACAATACTAATACACATGGGTACTGACTATGGGGACAACTAATTAGCTAGTGTCCTTCCTATGCAAGTGTTATTCCTTTGTTTAGTTAACATTGAAGGAATCTTGATGCTTTTGCTATTGAACATTCATAGATTGACATGTAGGAAAACCATTTGACCTTTTGGGTCTTGGTCATCTTTGAATCAACACACTTAATGTCAAATATCTCAAGATATGGCCTCCAAGTGTGCACAAACAAAATAAAGAAAGGAAATAATAGAATATTTTGTCAGTTTAAAACTATGAAGTAAACGTATTTTAAATTTACTTTTTAATCAATAAAGTCTAATTACCGTAACTATGAAGTCATAAATCTGAAACCTTTTCTTTCTTCTATCTGTTTGCAGGTTTTTGAGGGTGTGTACACCAATGCCAGAATGCTTCATTTCCTCACCGCTGTTGTGGTAAGGTTTCTGACTCTTTGTGTTTTTTTTTTTTCATGTTTCAGTATCTGTTGAAAAAAAAAAAAAATTAGCATCTGACACTAGTCTGTGTTTACTATGTACGATGTGTATCTTTGTCGTCTATATTTTGTAAGAAGGGTCACAGCAAGTTGACAAAATAATTGTGCTGCTTTAATTTGTCTGGCAATACATATAACATATAAAGTGCAGTGTTGAACTAAAATGATTTCATAGTTACCATGAATGTTTATGTTTTTGTTTATGGACGTTTCATCAAGTCATCTTTTTTTTAGGGTTCCACCTGTGACATCAGGGTAAAAAATGGCAGTGTATTTGAAGGCATTTTCAAGACTCTAAGTTCTCGAGTAAGTAACTTCTAGTTCTTCATCTCACAAAAAAATGTAATGGAATATATTCAAATATATATATATATATATATATATATGTATATATATATATATATGAACACGTAATTGAGGGCCTTTCCAAATAAACAAAAAACAAGCTCTTTGTCCTTCCTATGAATTTGGTTTCAGAGTAATTACAGTGCTAAACAAAAGCATTTGTCTAATGTTATTGCATTATTTACAGCGTAAATGTTAAAACGTTAGCTGTATCTTTTTGTCCTTGAAATGGTAGCTATCAAGGCTAATTTTATTATGTTTTAAACTGGTGCTCGAAATTTAGTTTGATCCGTATTAAGGTGAAAGGTAGTACCTGATCTTAACCATTTATTGTAAAAATTGTCTATTCTTCTGACCACAAACCAAAAAATGATCGGATGTCCCGACTGTGCAACGATGTTGTATTTATTTAGACCGCTTTCGTACAGTCGTTAAACTCTGCTCCCTCGTTTCCTTTGTTAGTGCGAGTTGGCTGTAGATGCGGTGCACAAACGCAGTGGCGAGGAAGGCTCTACTGCAGCTCCGCCCCGGAGGGAGGAGATCACGGACACTATGATTTTCAGCCCCTCAGACCTTGTGACGATGATCTGCAGAGATGTCGACCTCAACTATGCCACCAGAGGTATAAACTTAAGGACATTTTGAAACAAACTAAAGAAATAAAAAAAAAAGAAATCGAACATGATTAAATGCAGGATCCGTATCCCAACTGCAAAAGTTACATTTGTTTTATCCTGTTTTTTAAATTTTTAGACACGTTCACCGATACAGCTATTAGCTCCAGCCGTGTAAACGGAGAACACAAGGAGAAGGTCCTGCAGAGATGGGAAGGAGGAGACAGCAATGGAGAAAGTTTTGAGCTGGAGACTGATGCGGTGAGTTCATTCATCTCTGCCAATCATAAACCCACAACACCAGCTACTGACTGATTCCATTTAGGCATTGGCGGGGTCCAGACTAATGCTGAAACTGTTTCCATTAACAGTTTATACAATATTATTTAATGTCATCTACTTTTCTCCCTTTTAATCCCTTCAGTCCAATGGCTGGGACGCCAATGAAATGTTCCGCTACAATGAAGTAAAATATGGAATAACGTCCACGTATGATTCCAGCCTCTCTATGTACACGTAAGTATTTCTATAACTTTGCTGATGTTTATAAAAAAACAAATAAAAATTAGAACCCAAACGGGTCAGGAATGGGGAAAAATCAGAATCGGAAAATCCTTGTAATCCTCGCTGTTCAGTGTCCCTTTGGAAAGAGGCAACTCGGAAATGTTCCGGCAGAGGGAGGCCCGTGCCGCTCGCCTGGCCAGTGAGATAGAGTCAAGTCCTCAGCATCGCCATCGTGCCAATTTGGAAAATGACGAAGGACGAACCGAAGAGGACAAGTTCAGCGCTGTGTTGCGAGATGGTACCGATCGAGAAAGGGGCCGTGAAAGTCCCCGTGACCGAGAGCGTGAAAGGGGAAGAGACAGTCCTGGAGCCAACAACAGGTGAGGGGGCGGGGCGGGGGGCGGACACACTGGGAGGTTTTGTTTATGTTGACTTTTTTTTTTTTTAAATATCTCCATGTAGGTGGTAAGTTTGCAACCCCTACTGGTAGAGTAACTGTTCCTGAAAACAATGTTAAGTTTTTTTTTTTTTTTAATAACGAGTCTGATCGATGAACATCTTTTTCAGCAGTGGCTTTTTTAATATACCACTAATAATTTTTAAGATGGGAGTGAGACCAGATGTCAAATCCTTTCTTTTCCAGGGAGGGGAAGTACATTCCATTACCTCAGCGTCAAAGAGAAATGAACAGGGAGCGGGAGCGAGCAGAGAGAGCTGCTGGTGGCCCTCCTTCACACAACCGCCTCAGCGGAGGCTACCGCTCCACTCCTCCGTCTGCCGCCTCCCCCAGAC